CAGGTCAAATGACGACAACTTACCCCTTGGCATTGAACAACAGAGAAGTTTGCTTTTCGCAACTTGCAAATGAATTCATTGTTCCTAAATTATCTCGCCATTTAACAAAGACGGTGGAAGTCATTAAAATTTCACGGCTGAACAGCAAAGCAGGTAACCGGGCTGGTCTTTCACAACACGAAAGGGATGAATACGCGCACACATTGTTGCACAACTCGCACCCCTTCAACTCCCTGTTGGACCTGCTTGCGGTTCCGCCAACGCAGAAAACACAAATGTTTGCGGTCTGTGCCTCAAGCCGGGAAACAATGGCGGCGGTCAATTCGGAACGACATTTCTCTAATGATTGTAATCACATTGGCCTGCGAGTCGACCAACAATTTAGGATCTAGAGCGCGGGTCTCGGCCGGGAAAATGAGATTTGGGACCAAGAGGCGGATCTGTAAGACGCAGTTTGCTAATGAAGAGTTAAACGCAATTTTCCGCGTCAAGTTGGCGAAGACGAGACTTCTACCAGTAGAAATAAATTTTGCTTGGTAATATTTAAATAAAACAATGTCTATTATAAAATTATACCCGTTATAATTAATATCGAAGGGTGTCATTACTAATTTTATTCTTTTGAAAATGACTTATTAATAATTGATAGGATATTAACCTTTTTAATGTATTGAATTGAGAAATAAATTCTATATAATATATGATTGAATTTATATTATTATTACAATTATGAATCAATCATTTAATTTTTTTTTTTAAGTGACTTAAGAATGTTGGCAATGCAAATGAAAATATATTTTGCAAGGTTAGATTTTATGAGTTTTGATTTAAATATTGATGACTCGTTCACTATTTACAGCGTTGTAGAATTTATTCATTAAGATATAAAATATGAATCAGAGAAAAGGTTCATGGCATGCATAATGCATTATTATTCTGTAAGATGATTACATCATTCATGAGTTTCATGACTGGAGATAATATTTCTTGAAAACTGTGTTCTTTTAGTTGACAAATTTGTCAAATACCGATTTGATACTCTAAATTTTAATTTTAACTAAACATTATAAAATAATGCTAAAATACAATTATTCAGATTAATGCATAGAGCTCTGAGCTTATTCATAATTATATAAAATTCAACATTTAAGTTACCTTTTTGCAACTAAAGTTTATTTGTATTACAATATAGCAGTGCAAAATGTTAGGTCAGAATTGTATGAAAGGGTAGCTAGATTTTAATTAAGAGTTAGGTTGTATTGAAAGCAAAGGTCACGCTCACAAAAGCGGAAAATTCACTTGTTACCGGACATTCCGGCCGCACACAGGTGCCTCGAAAGGCCATTCAGATTGCCAACGTATTTCACCTATTATGCAAAAAGCCTCGAGAACAAAGAGCAAAAGGGTTCCGCACTCACGCGCTGGGCGCTTTTATCATCAACACATGCATAGAAAATAAGTTATAACACCACTCCTACACGAATAAACTTTTTGATAAATATGGTAGCAACACCAAGATTCTGCTAGAATTTGGCTCTCCCTTAAGACATAAAAGGTGAATCAACAGAAATGAGAGAGTCTCGAGTTGAATAATAATAAAAAAGAAATGTCAAAAGTTCGTTCCTTTGTCATGCATCGCTTCATTTGGGGCGAAATGAGAATTGGAAAATTTTACTCCCTCGCTCATAATTTGAAAACTTTTCCAGCAGAAAATATTATTTATCTCCCTTTAAAAGGAATATCTCTCCCTGGAGTTAGATTCAATGGTGTATTAATTATGGACGAATGCGAATTTATTTCGGCGTTCTCTTCCAGGCGAAAAGTTTTCAGGTGAAAACTCTCAGATACGTCCCTCTTGCGAATCGGAAAAGGCATTAGTTTAATGAGATTCTTGTTGGTTAGGCCATTAGTAGTTCAAATCCCAGCAGGTCGTCTCGGCAAGTGCAGAGAAGTGCAATTTGTTTGGGTTAATACTCTGCCGAGTTGTGAGGCTCTCGCGGTTAGAACTAAACTCGCTCAGCCTTCTGAATTTGAAAGCCGGAAAGCTGAATTCATTAGTACTTCTGCCCACTCTGGCTTTAACAGTCAACCCACACAGTTGTGAGAATATAAATAATTGAAACCCTAAATATTCAATTATAATTCGTCATTTCTAAAAACAAAAACAAAATTGGTTGAAGTGAAAGTTGGACATTCACAATTATTAGTCGAGACAAGACAATCAAAACAAGTTGCTTGTTTTGGACGTCTGTTTACTGATACGTGTGTCCATTCATTTCAGTGCCCAGACAATCGCGATACATTCTTCAACGTCCACTGGCACATTCATTGATATTTTCACGGACGTGCCATGCGACAAAAATAATAGCCGGCAGTTGCGAGTGAGCCGCTGCGTTCTATACATCACTGCTGATAATGTTTGCGTATCGAGAGACATGTCATTAGCCATTCTTCATTCCTTTCAGGCGCCGCTCGCTCACTTTGTACACAAAGTACCGGCACCGTTGCATATACTACGTGCGACAGTGCTGAGCGTATTCATGAGGCGGATCTGATTGATGAGAGTCATATTAATGATTGCGCTGTCCCTTGAATTTTAAACCGTCAAATATGACCGCAAGTTTTGCAAACTGTAAATTGATTCTTTTGACTACGTTTACTTTATAAAAAAATGAAAAATTTATTACACATGCAAATAGTTTAAAAATTTTATCTTATTATTAAATCTTTGATGTGTACCATAGTATTTTGTTTTCAATTTCATTCATATATTATATTTCATTAAAGATCGTTTTGACTCTAAATACAAGAAAAAACTTATAGAAGTTATTTTGCATCAAAAATACAAAATTTACATATAATTTCAATTAAATAAACAAATTATATCATTACTAATTCAACTCTAATGTTATTTTAATAAGATTTTAATATTTTATTTTATGCAAATTTAAGATAATATTTTTTGATAATACTGCAATTTTAATTTGGTAGACCTGTAACCTAAATCCTCAACTGTAACTTCATTTTAATACTAATTATGTTTTGAATTAGTGGGTGATATATTATTCTTTTGCTGATTTTTCCAGTTTTAAAATTTGACTACCTTTCCAGTCATTTCAAATAATTATGTATAGAAATAGAAATTAATTTTGTAGTCCTCTCTAATTTAATTTGATGGATGAAAAGCTCAATTGAGATAGATTTCTCGGCAGCAGCTGTCAAGGCGAAGTTTCACTAATTCAAATTCGGAGCACGTCAGCGCAAATAGAGTTAGAAGTCGCTCAATAAAATACACAGAGACCAAATTCATTTAAGAGCAGACTAAATATTCAATTATGCTCTTGGCGCGCTGCAAACTGCGAAACTTCCTCTCCGGCATAGCAGCTCTCTTTCTCCGTCACAAGTTAGTCTCATGAGGAGTGGCACGCCTGTTTTGAAGAATACCCGGAGCAACTTTTGTCACACCTGCTCCTTTTCGTAAAATAACACACACACGTCGGCTAATTTGAATATTCTCTAGCCGCATTTCCAAGCTGGCACAACGCAGTGTTTATTAACATATTAACTAATTGAACGCCTTATGTTTATTCAAAAATGCTAAAATTCTCTCTGAATATAAATCAAACAAAATAAAATTTGATTGCATAATATTCCCTGTATTATTTAAATTTGAAGTTTTGTGAACTATATTTCTTCTCTTAATTAAAAACTTCTTCAGTTTATATACTTTTTTTTAAATTATTTCTTTAATGGAAAGAGAGTAGAAGCTGTTTAGGAGGTCTAATCAAATAATTAAATGGCAAACAAGAGAACTTTGTCTAAATGATGTTCCTCTTTACGTCTGCGTTTGTTCTTTCAGAAATCTTAATGAGAGGAACAAAGCGAGTGGTGCGAGTTTTTTCGCCACTTTGTATGTACTTTTGCGGAAGAACTCTGCTGCCTCCTAATGGTATAATTAGAGGCATGTTCAGTCCTTTGTTTCCCTTTGACAGACCGGCTCTTTCAGGCTCTCTCAGGTCGCGTGTGTAATTAAAAAAGTGCAAACTCCCGGCGGCATTGTGTCTCTCTGGCGCGTAATTTGTCTTGCCATTTTCTAGTTGGCGCCGACATCATTTTCGCTCTCATGGTTATCTCGGGGGAGGCGGGTGAAAATATTTTCATCACCCGCACTTCCCTTATTTTTGACAGCAACCCTCGTGACTCCTTTTTTTTAATATCTCAAAAAGCAGAGGAAGGCTGAAAAAAGAGCGTGTGCTTCTCGTGCCGAGAAATTGCAATTTCTCTTTTGCTCTCTCGCACTCCGTCTTGCCCAATTACATTTTGCATGCGCCGCAGCCCGCCTCGTCATCCGTTGCTCTCGCAAGAAAGATTCTCTCTCACCAAAGTCAATTTCCAGATTTGCACCAAAGCAAGTTATAAAATTCTAATCTACATGATTAGTTTAATAAAAATAGCCTTATTTTTTAAATAATTTTATATAAAAATTTTAAAATTATATTTTATTTTATTTATTTATTAATATTTTAATTTTTTTTACCAAAAAACTCGATTCATTTGGCCAAATTGTCATTTGCGTTGATGCGCTGAAAGAAAAAAGCAAAAGTGAATAATTTTGTAAATTATACTTTAAGATCTATGCTAAAGAAAAATCAAATTTTGAAATGTTATAGTAGTTTATAGACATTTTTTTAGCATTATTATGCGAAAACTTTAAACTATTTGCAATAAGTTTATAAAGTTGCATTTTGTTTTGTTGGGATCAAAACTAACAAAAATTCAATTAATCATGTAATTTAATTAATAATGAAAAATTTAAAAATCCATCTTCTGAACACAAGAAATGAAAATCGATCAACTAGCTAGAATATTAAATGAAATTCAATACTTTTGGATTTGAAAATAATCTCGTTTAAAAAATTAACATGTTTTACAAGACTGCGGACTTTTGCCCAAAAACTAAAAAGTGCCACATTAATGACCGTTGACTTCTTTCGTTTCAGGACCGCCTGCAAAGAAGAGCGGCGACTGTGGCTCTCGGGCCCGAGAAATATCCGGCTGCAACATCGCTGAGGGCAAATGTTCATGCGACACGAGCATCGTCTGCCCTGGCGACCTGCCACCTTTCACCTTTGAGAACCGCGCAGAATGCGAAATCAACCTGTCAGGTAGGATAGAAAATTTGCATGCAAATTAGCCATTATTATATTATGATTGATTGATTGATTTATTTATTAAATACCAACGGTATACAACATACATACTAGACATAAAATAAAGTAAAAATCGGTCAAATGAAGGAACAAAAATTATTTCATCGGTATTGTCTCTCACACTCGGTGTTGTCTCTCACTTTTTCATTGTCGCTGCGGCTGATAACGTAATATTGCTCTTGTTACATTCGAATAAGTGATAAAAAAGAATTTTTTCATCGCAAAATTTACATTTACATTTGTCATCTGCTGCCGTGTGATAGGCTGCATTTGTGCAAAACAGGTAGTGAAAACCGTGGCAAGAGTAGCGGGTGAACATGTGTCTGTCTTTACAATTTGTAGCCTGCCAGTTTTTGTTCGTCATTGCAGGTGTGTTATAAAAATGAGGATTGATTTCCAATTGTTTAAGACGCATGGAGTTAAAAAATTTGTCACTTTCTGAGTGCGCTGGAAGATTGTATTTGTTCATTAAGTCACTGACGATTGTTTCACTTTCCGTTAATGCATATACAAGTCGTGATTTCATTCTTTTAGACAGACTTAAAACTCTCTTTAGGAATCTTGATTTTATGGTTTCTAGTTTTTCCAAATCCCTCTGCTTCAAATACGGCCAAATGGCTTCAATTCCGTAACTTGCAACCGGTGAGATAGCTAAGTCAAATAGTTTTTTGGCCGACTGCAGAGAGGATTTTGGCAAAGCGTTTAGTTTGGCCATTGCAAAGAGTGCCGCTTTCACCCTTTTGCTTACATGATTTGAAAAGCAAGTTCCCGATGATTGAAAAGTTACACCTAAATAGCAGAACTCTGTTACAAATTCAATGTTTTGTCCATTTACATTTAAAATGTCGTCTTTCCTTAGACGGCCTCTACCCTTATTTCTAATTTTGAGAATCTTACACTTATCATAATTCAATTTTAAGTTTTTGGTTGCTAGATATTGCTCAATTTCCAAAAGTGCTGCTTTAATATCTTCAAGGCTATCGCCTATTAGCACAATATCATCTGCGTAAAGTATTGCACGGACATTTTTACAATTTTTTATGGCCTCGTTTAAATCACTGACTGTGAAAATGAATAGAAAAGGAGAAAAGACACCACCTTGTCTGACTCCATTTGACTGTGTTATAGTTTCCGATACAGTGACACCATCATTTACTTGTAGGTAGTTTAGATCTAGCATTTCCGCCACAAGATTAAGTTCACCATGAGCTAATTTTTTAGTAGAAATTAGTTTTTGAAATACAACTTTTCGGTCAATTGTGTCAAAGGCTTTTTTCACATCTAAGAATACACAGTACAATGGCTTCCCTTTTTCATAAACAGATTCATTTATCTCACTAATCAACTCGTTTACAGCTTGTATAGTTGATTTACCTTTGACAAAACCATATTGATTTGGTGGTATATTGTCTATCAGACTTGAAGTAATCCTATTATTAATTATACGATCTAGCAAATTATAGAAAGTGGAGCTTAAACTAATGCCTCGGTAAGAATTTACATTAGAAGTATCACCTTTTCCTTTGAATAGAAGCTTTAGATTAGAGTATTTCCATGCTTCTGGGAATTTTCCGGCGCGAAGACATAAATTGAAAAAGGAAGTCATTTCGGGAGCGAGGCTTGAGAAGAGAGCCTTTAGATTTTCATTTGTTAACATGTCAAAACCTGTTGCCTTTTTTGTTTTTAAACTTTTAACTGCAAATTCTACTTCTTCTTCCATAATATTTTTTAACTCTACATTTTTAGGATATTGGTTTAACAAAGCCTTTAAGTCTAAAGATTGGCCAGGCTTAAGTTTACTTTCATTCAGAAGATTATCCAAAGTTTGCTCCCATGTTTTCATTGGTATATTATTTTCTTTCCAGGTTGAATTATTGTTAAGTTGCAGAAGTTTGTAACATCTTTTTTCTGCTTCCTCTAATATTTTATTGTCTAATTTGTCAACGTATTCCCTTTTCTTAATTTTACAAAGTTTTACATATTCCTTTTTTCCAGTTGAGTATATTTCCATCACTTCGTTTTTATCGTCTTCAAAACCTTTTACCGCTGGAAAAGAGTTAATAAAGGTTCTTAAAAAGTTGAGATCTTGTTTGAAACAGTAGCATTGGTAATCAAACCAGGGCGCGCTTTTCCTTTGGAAATTTTGAGGAGTGATTTTTGACTCTTCAACAAGTGCAAGTACATTTTTGTAGAAATTTTCTATGTTTTCCATTTCAATATCATTTCTTAGAATATCAGTATATTTACATTCAATCAAGTACTTAAGTTTAAGATCATCTACCCTGGGGCGACCTAGCCCTGGTTCATATGGATTAGCATTTGAATTAGGCATCTCAAAATTTATGGAGACCAAGCAATGTTTAGTTAAATGGGGGTCATTGTTTAAATTAAAATTGTTTAGTTTGATTTCTGGGCCCAAAAGAATTAGATCAATAGTGCTGCCTCCTTTTCCAGCTAAGTAGGTTCTCTGAAGAGGGAGGCTGTTTGCAAGAGTAAGGTCATTCATTTCAGCAAAGTCTAGAAAGCTCTTGCCTTTTAAGTTGGTTGAAATTTCAATTCTACAGTTAAAATCTCCAGCGAATACAACCTTTTCAATATTTCTAATTTCTGGGAGAGTTTTCAAGAGTTGCTCCCAAACATCATCCGAATTTAACTTTGGATGCAAATAAGAACCAACAATGGAGAGATGTTCAAAGTTCAAAATTATGAAATTTTTTAATAGTTTGCAATTTATGATTTCCCCAACTTTGCCTTTGTAGTAAATTGCGAGACCTCCCTTTGGTCTGCCACGCGCAGATTTTTCGGCTAGAATATGTTTGCTATAAAACCCCGGAATCGAAAATGGTTCTAGTAAAAAAGTTTCAGTTAATATGAGAATGTCATAATTTTTAAATTCAGTTTCACCAAAGTTGCTATAAACACTTTTAAACCCTTCTACATTCCATAGTAGCAATTTGATGTTTTGTGAACTATTCGTTTCGGGGTCGTTTAAAAATTCTGTGCGGTTATGATACCTGCGCTGTCTTTTTGCACGAAACTAGTGTCACTTTCTTCTGATGGTTGTTCGTTGAGTTGGGGTTGAGTCTGAACGTCATTGTTTGATTTTCGCCACAGTGGGGGTGTTTGTGTTCCAGGTGGTGGGGGAGGGGGGGAATAACTGGTGCTCACTTTGGGGGTGAGCTTTCTGCACTTCCTTCCTCTCGGGGTTTCAGAGGGGGTGGGCCAAGGATTCTGCGTTTCTTCGCTCAGTTCCTCATACCTAGCTACGAGATCTTGTACTGAGGGGGATTCTTCACTTGATGTGGGGTTGATTGCAGTTGTTAGGGGAGCAGGTTGGTTGAGCGGCGCTTCATGTGCGGAAGAGAGATGGTATATGATCACTCGCACGTAAATTAATTTTATAAAGTGCTTAAATCCTTCGTCTCATAAAATATCTGTCTTTAAAATTGCACAAACCACCAGTCTTGTATTACTTAGAAATTTATCTCAAGTCGACTTCAAATGAATTTAATATTCTCATTTGGCGTGTTACAAGGTCAGTTAAAAGGAGCACTTCACACGCCCAAATTCCGCGAGCTCTAGGTATATTAATTACATGTCTCGGTGATCATTTCTCTTGCTCTCGACGAGCTGCGCAAAAAGGGATGATGCCGTCGCGTTTTCGCTAATTAAAAACACTCTCTTCAAAATCCGACGAAACTTCGCGCCTCGTTATTTTCTGAGCGGCTGGCAGTTGAAGAATTGCGAACGTTTTCAAAAGTTTTTGCTCACGAATGAGGCACTCTTTTGCTCTTGACATATGCCCGGATGAGGCAGGCGGTTTGTATAATTTGCGCTGCTCTTGTGCAAAGCGAACATTTTGCAATCGAGGCTGCGTTTGAATCGCGCCCATTAATCATCTCACATGATCCGAGCAAATTGCAGCAATTATTATCGACATCCGTGTAACATAATTTAGGATCAATCCCAACCAAAGGGCGACGATAATGAGACCAACAATTTAACCACAAAATTTATTATATCATAAATTTTTGAAAAGTGGTGTGGAAAATTAACAGGAAAATTTTCAAAATTTACAATGTATAGAGTTTTAATCACTGAATTTTTTCAGGGTGATTTGCGTTTTCAGTTTCTTATCCTTATTGAAAAATAAGGTTTTTCAAGAAAAAAAAAATAAGGTTACATATTGTTTAAATTTTTTTATTTCATGAATTTATTGCAAGTATAGTAGTCAAAAGTTACTAATCTAATTATTTCCCATTTCGAGTGGTTTCTTTAGGTTTTAATTTTCCATCTCATAAGTCTGGAATAGTTCGTCCTGTAGCTTTGACTTTGCATTTATAGTTGATGGGTGCTCAGAAAATTGCAGCGATATATTCGCTGGAAATAAGTTATTGCACGAAAACACTCTCGCTGCACCGCTATTAAAGCGCCGTGTTTTGATGGCTTTCGCTTCTAAATCACACGCCCGCCGCGGCATGAAATATTGCACGCTTAATTTTCCATATCACGCGGCTCGCAGCGGCAACGCCGAAATATAGGCAAGCGGACTGCTTAATTATCCACATGCACAAAATGAGGGATGGTCGGTGCTGCGTCTTAATTGGGCGCTATCACGCCAGCAACGGTGTGTCGGCCAAATTTATGTGCTGAATGATCCGCTAAAATCGCTTCGGTGGAGGGAATGAGATTTTCTCGGCGCGCACTCGAACGCGACTCTTGCGGAAAAGGGCAATGTCGTAAATTTCACTCTGCTGATTTGGCGCATCGTCTTCGCGGATTGTGTTTTAGGAGGCTCTAGAGACAATTAATTTTCCTCATGTGCCGTGAAATTCAGCAGACAGGCGTATTATTAAAGTGTTTCACAGCCACAGCTAAAATTACCAGCGATAAAGATTTTCAAAATAAAGCTCAACAATTTAAAAGCTTTTTTCTTACAAAGAAATTGTACACGT